TCTGTTCTGAGGACACAGTTGGGACACAGTCACCACTCAAAAGTGACTTTGGAGTTTGCTGTTTGGCTCTATGTACAAAAACTTTCCTAGCTTGATACACAAGCAGGATTTTCTGCACTATGCCCCCCAAACTCCTGTACTTGCTCTGTAACTTCATGTCCTTCCGTCTAACAGGGCCAGGGTGAAGCTGAAGTGTCCCAACGGATGTTATTTCAATTCCATGTGACACCTGTTCTGTCCAGGGACTTCTTTTTTGTGGACAAAGAGCCACTCCCACGCTCAGAAAAGCTAGCAGAAGACTTTGCTCCACTCACAGAGGTACCTGTACTCAAACCAGTGCTGTTGCTGGTGTAGCAGATCCCTGCAATGCCTGTTGCTGTGGCACCTTAGCTGAATTTAGAGGTTGTCTGAGGTTGCTGTGCCTCATGTCCTGTTTCACGAATCCTTCTGCATCGAATTGTCCCATTCCAGGCCATGGAGAGGGAGGTCTCTGCTGCCTTTGGCAAAGGGGAGCCTGGTGAGATCCTGAGCAGTGCCTTCAAGCTCAAGGTCACTCGTGAGGACATCTGCACCCTGCGGCAGCTGTGCTGGCTCAATGACGAGGTAAGATGAGCACAGGGATACTCTAAACCAGCACTTCTGTAGGAGCACCCCTTCTCTGGCTGCTTATGGCTCTGGTGTTTCTGGAAGCTCCTTTCCTTGGGTTGTGCAGCAACCAGGGGTCAGGCTGCATTGGTGGAGTAGGGGCAGGTGATTTCATCCAGCAGCACAAGTCACCAAGTGCAAAGTTGCCAGAGCCAAAGCTGCCAGCTGGGCTTCTCTCTGTTGTGTTCTCAACGGTGGCCAGCAAAGACGTATTGGTGCCTTTTTCATTTGCTGAGTTACCTTCATTTGCCTTCTCTTACATCTCAACTTTTCTCTCCCTGGCCCAGGTCATTAATTTCTACATGAACCTTCTGGTGGAAAGAAGCAAGAAGGAAGGCTATCCAGCACTCCATGCTTTTAGTACCTTCTTTTACCCCAAACTGTGTTCTGGAGGCTACAAAGCAGTGAGGAGGTGGACCAGAGGTGTGGATCTCTTCAAGCAGGATCTCATCCTGGTACCCATTCACCTCAGAGTGCACTGGACGCTGCTGGTGAGTCAAACTGGCCTTTTATTTAGGGGATGGGAGGAACAAAACTAGCAAGGAAAGTCCTTTAGGGTTTGGGATGTGCTTTTCCAACATTACTTTTTAATCCCAGGTCATAGATGTCAGAAAGAAAACTATCAAATACTTTGACTCCTTGGGGCAGAAGGGAGACAACATTTGTAAAACCCTGCTGTAAGTAGCTGCTTTTTTATCCTTTTGATTATTTTGAGGCCTTTTTTCCTCCCCACTTGGACTGGTCCTGCCCTGGCCCAGGCTTCTCCTCACTTTGTACCTCTTTGGTTCTGCTCAGTGTTTTAAATCACCTGGAGTGTAACTGGGGCAAGTTTTCATGTGTCCTGGACATCCTTACATGTCTTCGCCAGTAAAAATCCTTAATCCAGCAGCTTTTTAGAGCGAGAGCAGCCTCACAGAGACAAACCACAGAATCCCAGAATCACTGAGGTTGGAAAAGCCCTTCCAGCCTATGGAGTCCAGCTTGTGCCCGACCCCCACCTTGTCACCCAGCCCAGAGCACTGAGTGCCATGTCCAGGCCTTCCTTGGACACCTCCAGGGATGGGGACTCCACCACCTCCCCTGGGCAGCCCTTTCCAATGCTTAAAGACTCTTCCAGTGAAGAAGTTTTCCCCAACATCCAATCTGAACCTCCCTTGGCACAACCTGAGGTCATTTTCCCTTGTTCTGTCCCTTGTTCCCTGGGAGCCCAGCCCAATTCCCCCCGGCTCCCCCCTCCTGTCAGGGAGTTGCAGAGCCAGAAGGTCCCCCCTGAGCCTCCTTCAGGCTGAGCCCCTCCAGCTCCCTCAGCTGCTCCTGCTGCTCCAGCCCCTTCCCAGCTTCATTCCCTTCCCTGCACACACTCCAGCCCCTCAATGTCCTTCCAATACAACTGCTACACATAACTGCTCTCAGCAGATCCACATCCCACCCAACTTGGTGTCTTCTGTGAACTGACCAAGGGTGCCTTTGATCCCTTCATCCAGATCATGGATAAAGACATTAAATGAGACTGGCCAGTACTGAGCCTTGGGGAACCCCACTTGAAGCCTCTCACCGTGCCTCGAAATTTAAGACTGTGATTTTTATTCCACATTCCTTAAATCTGCTGCTGTGAGGATCCTCAGACATTTCACTGCCACTCACCTTTTTGTCACCCTTCAGCAGCTTTTTTTTTGTTGCCCTAAACTGGGGAGATGAAAAGCAATTTTGTGTTGTTTTAAACAGACAATACCTGCAAGAAGAAAGCAGGGAAAAAAGAAACCTGGAATTGACTGCTTCCGAGTGGACTCTTCGCAGCCTGAGCCCAGAGGTAACGTGAGCAATGCCTGGATTTGGGATGTGAGGGAGTGTATAACACTTTCCAAGGAAGCAGGAGAGATTAATTGGGACTATTGCTTGGGTTTGGGAGCAGGAAACGGATTCTGGAAGTAGGTTTTCAGGAGCTGTTGGTGTGGGTAATGTGTGCTGCAACCAAACTGCTGCTCTTTTAAGGCAGATAAAAATTCTCCATCTCTTTTTGTGTTCCTCAGGAAATCCCTCAACAAACTAATGGAAGTGACTGCGGGGTTTTTGTTTGCAAATTTGCTGATTCCATCTCTAGAGACAAACCCATCACCTTCACACAGGTGAGGGAAGTGAGAAACAGCTCCAGCCTTTCCCACATGGATACAAGAGCTGGGGAAGTCCCACAGCAGCTGGGGCAGGGGCTGAGGGCTTGTTCCTCATGTCTGGTGTCTGCTTCTTGGCAAGATCATGGAATCACAGAATCTCAGAGTGGTTTGGGTTGGCAGGGACCTTAAAATCCATCTTGTTCCAACCACAAGATGCTGCAGCCAGGGGTTTCTAACATCTGGCCTTTGTATCTCTTGGAAAACAGGTTTCCTCCTTGGAGCAGTTCAGATGTTGGTTATTTTCCAGCGTGGTGGCCTTTAACAAACATCCTTTAGAGCAAATGTGGCTTTGTTGGGTAGTTGTTTCACCCTTGTGTGAAACCCACCTTGTACCTAAATGGCAGGTGCTGACAGTTCTCAAAAGCAACTTCCATTCAAGAATTGCCTGGGTGTTTTTTGAGATTTTCTGCCTTTTTCTCCCCTGCTTTCCTGTTTAATGGATTTCTCCCTTTTCTCTCCAGGAACACATGCCTTACTTCCGCCGAAAGATGGTGTGGGAAATAATTCATCAGCAGCTGCTGTGAGACATGCACTGTTAACAAAAACACTGTTCTGTAAAAAAAAGAGAAGTATTTATTTCTTACTGTTAAGATAAATATTTAATTTATGTAAGAGCCTTACTGTAAGGGAACTTTACTTGTTAATAAATTAGAGTAATTTATTTTTTAATTGAAAACCACTTTGGTGTCTGCGTGTGGTTTTTTAACTTGCCCACAATTCCTGAGGAAGGGGTGTCTCCTCTCCAGGGCTCTGGGGGACATCCCTGTGCTGTTCCCTGCCTGGAGATCCTCTGTCCTCAAGGAGCAGAGGGGCTTTATCCACCTTTTCTTTCACCACTAGTTGCCTCAATCTGCCCCAAACTCAGATTCTCCAAAGGGAGAGTGATTCCAAAGGCTATTGGTTGTGTTTTGTCCTTACAAATAATTCATCAGGGATAATCATCTTCCCTAAGGCCACAGAAGATCTAAGCTCTGCCTGTTTTAGGTGTCCTTCCCTCTTCCATTTGGTTCTCCCTGTTCAGGGTTGCAGTTTTGAGGATGAACTGTTCTTTTTTGGGGGCAAACACAACAGAGGTGTTTGGGGTGGGAGGTTGGTGCTCTGAGGTGTTTTGGGGTGACAGCAGAGCCTGCCCTTTCCAAGGCACCTGGTGCTGGAAGGGTGGAAGAGCCCAGAGGGGGGTTCTCTCACTGTGGCCCCCTCAGCCCCACCAGCCCTACCCCTGCCCCTGCCCTGCCGGGAATATTTCCTCTGTGGATATTGCACCATTTTGGCTTTGCCAAGGACATGCAGGGAGGGAGAGGTGGCTCCACGATGGCAACTCCCACTTTGCAATGCCTATACCCACCGCCCTCCCCACCCACCCCTTTCCTCCCCACCCACCCCTTTCCTCCCCACCTGTAGGGAAATGGGGTGTCCACGGGGGAAGCCCCAGCTGTGCCCAATGACAGGGATCCCAAAGAAATCACAGAGAGCAGGCTCAGGTTCTGGTTAGCTGGATATATTTCTCTTTTGTTGGTGTCTCGGGTTGGTTTTCACACAACACTTTGCAGCAGAGGAAAATACGGATTCGCAGCCCTCAGTTCCCATCCCTCCTCCTGCCCGGCGCTTCCGCTGCTTCCACTTGTATTTGCTTAAACCCTTTTTTGTTTGTTTTTTATTTATTTTTCATGTTTGGCTTTTTCTTTTTTCCCTTTTTTTTTTTTTTTTGAACTATTGAACCATTTCTCAAGCTTTCTCTGAAGGAACGGCCACTGGCTCTCAGCTTGCAGGAGACCACGGAAGAGCTCTGGGACACGGGGTGGGGGGTGGGGGGTTTCATTCTCCCACCTCGCAGTTGACTTGATCGAGATCATTTTTCCAACTCGTTTTTTTTTTTTTTAATTAAAAAAATAATAAAAAAAAAAAGCTCCAACTCTCAGTTTTACAAGGCATACAAAAATCTCTAAAAGGGCAACACAAGCACAAGGTGCTGAGGTACGAAAACCTGAGGTAGTTTGTGTGTGTGTGTGTGTGTGTGTGTGTGTGTGTGTGTGTTGGGGGAATCGTTGGGGATATTTTTTAATTTTAAAAATATTCAAAAAATTATTTTTCATTTTGCTGGTTGGTTTTTCCAGCCCCTGGGCTGGAAACCTCTCTTGTAAATCCTTTTTTTTTTTGCCCACCCATTTCCCTCTCCACCCCAGCCCAAAGAGGGCAGGGCTGGTGCTGCCCATGGTTTTCCAGGGATGTCAGTGCCAGGCAGTGATGGAGAGAGGACAGACAGACAGAAAGGGGGGACAGAACAGATGCAACCCCCACTTTTGGAGTCTGTGAAGCAAAGAGGAAAGGGTGGGTGAAGGAGAGATTCCTCTTGCAGGAGGCAAGGGGAATCCTGTTGACTCCTAAAGGCCCTGCTCTTCTCAAAGCCCTTCAGAAATTGCTTTTTAACACTTCTTTAATAATTTTTCCCCCTAGGCAATCCTACAGCTCTGCTCTATGGCGTATTAGAGAACCAATGGACCAGCTCCTACCCTTAGACCTCTAGAAAAGCCTGCTTTTGCTAAAAACAAACAGCCCCCTCCCCCTGAAAATTTAAAAAAAAAAAAATAGAAAAACCCAAAATAAAACCTTACAACACTTAAAAATGGGGTGTTAGTTTCATTACCAATATATTAATTCTAAACTTAATGAGTGCCGCAGCCCCCCCAAGCCAGGCCAGCCCCTCCTGGGTGAAACGGGGTGGGGGAAAATTTCCAAACAAATTTCAAATAAATTCCCCAAAAATTCCAGAATCCAAATCCCCTCTCTCTGCCTGTGTAAGTCCACCTGGAGGGAGAGCATTGGGGCGGGGGAGGGAGGCGATGGAATAAGGCAGAGGCTGTGGGATGGAGGGAGCCCTCTCCGTGCCCCTCCTGGCTGAAGGCTGGGGGGCCCAGGGGGGGTCTTTGGTTTGTGCCCTGCCCTGCTGGGGGTCCGGGGGGCGCCGGGGGGGTTACATTCGTCGGGCGGTGCTGGCGGGAGCCTCACTTGCTGTGCTGCTGCGAGGTTGCGGCTCCCTGAGCGTGTTTGTGCTCCTGCTGCTTTACCTGCTGCACGATTTCCCTGATCTTGCGCTGGGCAGTCTGGGGGGAGGCAAGAAATGGGGGTCAGGGGCACCACCAGCAGCTCTGCCCCCTCTCCCCAAGCCACGGCAGCATCACACCCTGCCAGCTTTTAACCCCACGACAAGCCCAGCTGTAATGAAAGCTGGGGTTTAGCTTGGTCTTCTTCCATTGCTGCATGGCCTCAGTTTTGGGGTGTCACCCCCCAGCAGTCAGGAGCCAAGGGTGTGGTACATGCACCCAGGTGGGATGTGGGAGCCTGTTCCCACCTGGTATGCAAGACATAGATTTTGGCTAAATTGAGGAAAACTTTAATTTTAGTACAGTCAAACCTCCTTTACAATTTCTGGCCTCATAAACAAACTGTTCACAGAATCAGAGAATATCTGAGTTGGGAGGGACCCACAAGGACCATCCAGTCCAACTCTCAGCCCTGCACAGGCACAGCCCCAAGAGTCACCCCCTGTGCCCCAGAGGATCATCCAAACCCTCCTGGAGCTCTGGCAGCCTTGGGGCTGTGCCCACTGCCCTGGGGAGCCTGTTCAGTGCTAACCACCCTCTGGGGGAAGAACTTTTCTCTGAGATCCAACCTGACCCAGCCCTGACACAGCTGCAGCCATTCCCTGGGTGCTGTCCCTGGTCCCCCCAGAGCAGAGCTCAGTCCTGCCCATCCTCTGGCCCTGCCCAGGAAGTCGTGACCATAGTGAGGTCTCCCCTGTCTCCTCCAGCTGAACACACCAAGTGCCCTCAGTGTCCTCACACTCCTTCAAATTAAGGCTCTTCCTCATCCTCGTTGCTTCCTTTGGACATTCTCCAATGGCTTCAGATCTTTCTTACACTGCAGTGACCAAAACTGCACAGAAACCTCCCAGATGAGAGCATCAGGATGCTGAGGGAATGCTGTGCTCGGTTGCTTTCCTCAAACTGGCTGGGAATGCTAGAAAAGCCACTGCCACATGGCCAAACCTCACCTGACTGGCAAAGAAATGCCCGATGATTTTGACGACGACCTCGTCATTCTCATCTGGGGTTTGGTCCCGCGGCACAATCACTTCTGCACTCGTTAAATTCTGCAGCTCGTTCACCTGGAGAAAAGGATACGGATCCAGGGTTTACCATGGAAGAGCCAAAATCCTCTGCTGCTGGTGTCAGCCTGGGCTCCAAGTCACCATGTGGCACCAGGAATGCTGTGGGTCACACCCCATCCCCCTCGGCCACCATGAAGAACCACCTCCAGGGACTGAGGCACTGCTGTGATCACAGAGCACCTGGGCAGGGTGATGGGAGATGGGGGAATGCCACCCCTGGGGGCAGGTGGGAGCACCCTGCACCCCACACCTACCGTCTTGCCACCTTTGCCAATGACGCGGCCGGCGGTGAAGGAAGGCACCTTGATGTGGGCTTCGAGCTTCACCTCCTCCTTCGGGTTAAAGAAGTTTTCCTCTTTCAGCTTCCCAAATATTCGTCCCTGGGCCTGCAGAGGGGACAGAAGAAGGGAAGTAAAATCAGCGGTGCCTGCTGTGCCCTCCACCCCCACGGACAATGATGTACCAATGTCCACCAGCATCAAAACTGTGGTCCCAAGCCACGAGCCCCCCCAGCACTCAGAGGGTGGGAGCACAGCGGGGATGCCCTCGCCGTGTCCCTGCACAGCCCCCACCACACAGCCAGCACACCTTGAACTGGGCCTCGGGTGGCCCCGTGATGATCACCATCCGCTCACTGGCATCTGGACCTTCTGCCGGGGCGATCTGGGAGAGAGGGGGAAGGCATGTGAGTGGGACTCCCTCCTTGGGCAACACCTCCCCTAAATGGGATGTTCCCCCATGCAGGGACACCCCCCCGCCCGTGCAGGAGTGACAACCAAGCTGCTGCAGGACTGGGTTTCTACTAATCTGGAGAGCAAAACCACCTTGCAAGGGCTCCCATTCTCTGCCCTCAGTAGCAGGAAGGGGAAACTGAGGCATGAAGCCCCCAGGAAAGCCCTGCAATCTCCTGCTCACCTTGATGGAGGCACCAGCAAACTGTGCCAGCTGCTTGATGTGCTGCCCCTTCTTCCCAATGATGGCCCCCACTGCCTGCGTCGGGATGAACAAGTTCACGACCTCCTGCTCCGGCAGCTGGAAGGGGCACGGCAGAGCCAGAGGGTCAGGGATCAGATGGATCGGGGGTGGCTTCCCCCCACCAGCATGCCAGGGTTGAGGAGGAGTTGGGTCGAGCTAGGTTGGTTCAGGTTGACCTGGGTTGGGCTGAGTGGTTGACACCCAGCCCTTGTTTTTTTGCCTGCCCTGGCCACCCAACTCCCCCCTCTCCTAAGGTGCCCAAGTGAAGAGCTCATGGAGGGAGGTGTTGATGGGGGGGGAGCACTCACAGGGTGCTGATGTGGGAAGGCGCTGGCTGGAGGGGCTCCGTACAGACCTGACATGTAGGCCGAGGAGCCCTGTGGTGGGAGAGGAAATGGTCAGTGACACCAGTGATGTCCCCAAGATGCCAGCCCCTTCCCAGCCCCATCCCAGCCATCCCTAGTACAAGTGAGAAGAGCAGTGTGCCACCACCATGAGCCTGGTGGGGACTCAGGGACCACCCCTCGCCCCCTGAGACCCCTCCGAGACCGTGGGTGCACCCAAGGGTGTAAAAGGGTGAGCTACAGCCTGGATGCTGTGCTTCTGGCACAGCACACAGGGGCTGGGAGGTGGTGGGAGCTCTCACTTAACCCCAATTCCTCCCCACTGCTGGTTTTTCAGCTGTGCTGATGGAGCAGCCATAACTCTGGAAAGCCTCTTGGCTGTGCTGCAACTACCACTAGTCCCCTGAGGAGAGGATGGGGGCTGGGGAGAACTGAGCAAAACACCTGGTTTGGCTCTGATTTCCATCCCCATTCCTCCTCTCCAGTTCCAAGAGAGGGAAAAGCAAATGCTGAAGATGTTCTCCCAGTATCCAGGCTGGGCACAGGGAGAAAGCAGTGGGTCTCTCCATGGCCAAAAGGAAGTGCCAGCGCCCCAACCCAACCCAACCCAACTTCTTCTGTGTCTCAAATCCATCAGACATTTCTCCTGGAAGCAGACACAACTTTCTCCCACTCTGGGAGACATCAACAGGTCATCTCTCACCCACAGTCAGGGTGGTCATCACTTCTCCTCAGCCTTCCCCATTCATTGTGAAGCTCCTTTCTCATTCTCCATCCTTGCCTAGTCTCTAGACCTCCAGCTTTTTGTCTTGCTATAAATAAATGGGCAATTTCCAAGAGGAAATTGCTCCTCTTGGTCTCAACAGGGAGACTTAGAACAGGACTTGCAAAGCTTTGGGCTGAAGTACCCCACACTAAACTCTGCCCTTAGGAACCTGCCCAGACCCTCCCCATCACACCCATAAGTATTTCCCAACACACAGGGAGAGCATCCTCCCCTCCACAGGCCAGCATAGACAGATCAACCAATCCTCTTGGTGCCCTCCAGAGACACCACACACACCCCTCCCCTCACCCTCCCTGGCACTCACCGTCCTCCTCCGCCCGCTCTGCTGCTGCCATCACCAGGGAGAGAAAACAGCACAAGTCAATTAATGCACAACTTGGAATAAATTATTCAGAGACTAACAGAGACAGTCCACAGCACCTGGGGGACCCAAGGGTGCCCTGGAGGTGCTCCTGGGTGGACCTTCTCCATCAGTACTTTGGCCATTGGGGTCTCTGGGCACTGGACCACTGTTACCCACAAGTGACCTCAGGGGTTTTGAAGATCATTTCCCAGCTCTCAGCACCTCAAGAACAAGGAAAACCCTTCCCTATGAGGTGGGGTGGAGACTGGCTCCCTGCAAGCACAAACCCCTGCGTGCCAGGGCAGGGATCCAAGATGATGCCTTGTTGGTGGATAAACAGGGTGGGCTGCTCGTTCCCTGCACATCCTGTGGCCACACCAAGGGACTCCAGTGGCCACCAAGACCAGACCCACAGGGCACAACCCAGCCCACATCAACCCAGTGGTGGGCTTGGGGTCAGGACTGAAGACCACCTGCAAGGTTTTTCCATGCTCTCTTCAGACACTGACCCCTGGGGTACGGCCAGACCTTAAACACACGTGAAAGTGAGCTCAGCACAACACAGGGATCTTCCCAGGGAGCTGAACCAAAGGAAGGACAAGCCACCTTCATTCCCTGTCCTCTCCACTCTGCTGCTATGACAGCATCCTCCCTAAGAGTCAGAGCTCCCATTCAAGGCTCCTACAGTTACAGTGACCACCCAAACTCAACAGCTGCAGCAGGACACTCCAGACACCACTCTTCCCCCAGGAACACACCTCCCGCACCCCAAAACCTCCAACACTTACTGCAAAGGGGTGGTAGGGGGTGGCAGCTGCAGCCCCTCGGGTCCCCGGGGTGGATGGGAGCATGGACAACCCTGTGGAGAAGATGCCCAAGGCATTGAGGTTCAGCCCTGGGATCAGGTTGGCTTGTTGCTGGGAAAACAAAAATGTGGAGAGAGGTGTGAAAGGCAGAGTGGGGGTTTTGGGCTTCTCACCCCAGTGTGGGTGTGATGGGTGAGCGCCAACCAACTCTTATCATAACATGCTGACACCCCCCCCCCCAGTTTTCTTCTGGCCACCTCAGTGGAGTGGGAGCATCCCTGGGGAAAGGCTGGAGCTTACATGGACAGCCACCACATCGTTCTCGTAGGCCTCTCTCAGCTTCTTCATGATCTCCACCTCGGCATTGGAACAGGCCTCCATGCTGCCTTTCACCGTGATGGTCCGCTCGGGGTTGTAAATCGTCAAATCCTGCAACCTGCCCCCCAGGGAAACCCATGGGTACATTCTTCCTCCAGGGCAGGAAAAGCCCCAGGAAAACTCAAATCAAAGTTGAGGGTTCTTCCCTCTGAGACAGATTCCACACACACATTCTCTCCTGGTCCAGCGCCACCATCTACCTGGTGTGAGGAATGTCCACCTGGGATGGGAATGCACATGGAAGGACACAACTGCTCTGTCTTCTGTCTCCAGCACAGCCCATCCCATGCTGGATGAAAAGCAGTGGCTTGGTGTTCACCAGTACTTCATTGAACCATGGAATCCCAGAATGGTTTGGGTTAGAAGGGACCTTAAAGCTCATCCAGTGCCACCCCCTGCCATGGACAGGGACACCTTCCACTAGCCCAGGTTGCTCCAAGCCTTGTCCAACCTGGCCTTGGACACTTGCAGGGATGGGGCAGCCACAGCTTCTCTGGGCAACCTGTGCCAGGGCCTCACAATTCATCCCACAGAAGAACTCCTTCCCAATATTCCATCTAACCCTGCCACCTGGCAGTGGGAAGCCATTCCCCTTGTCTTGTCACAGGAACTTACGGAGAGATGGTGATCTTTGTGCCCGTATCCTGCTCAATCTTCTTGAGGTTGCGGCCCTCCTTGCCAATCAACCTCCCCACCAGGCTGTTGTGCGCCAGGATTTTCAAGGGAATCTCTTCTGCTCTAAAATGGATTCAAAAATAAAATCCAAAGGTCTGTCTAGACAGGAAACCCATTTCCAGGCACAGGCACTACGGACGTGGTAGAAGGAGCAGAAGAACCACCACCATTTCAAACCACCACCCGTCCGTCTGGCTGAGCCAGGAGCACTCACGATTTAGTTTCATCAGCCTCCTTCTGCATGATATCCAGGATCATGCGACAGGCTTCGGAGCAGCCCGCCGGCGTGGCGTGGATGGTGATGGGCTTTTCGGCAGCGCCGGCATTCTCCTTCCGGTGGATGTCAACCCTACGGAGAAACAATGGGCAGAGAGGAGCCTCCTGAGATGGGTCTGGCGGCACACAGAGGTTTCTGAGAGCTCAGGAGCTGAGAAAAACTCATTTCAATGCTTTCTCAAGCTTTGGGGTGAAGCTGGACCTCAGGTGCATCTGCCACCACCTGGCTCACGCAAGCCCAGGTCGTGTTTGGTTTTGGGTGGTTTGGATCAGATGTGGGCTATGTTTGCCTTTAGGACCCGAGGTCCCCGAGAGCTGAGGGGCATCACAGCATCAACTAATGCATCGAGGGGGCAGAACAAACCCTCAACAGCTCAAAGCCCTGAGCCACCTCCTATCCTCTCTGATGTCAGTCCCACTCGGAGCTGGAGACCGAGTCAGGGGTCTCCAAAGGTCCCTTCAGACCTCCACCTCTCTCTGCACAATACCCGAGGCTGTCCAGCGACCACGTCCTTCGGGACAGAGAGAACTTACCCGTGGGCAGCATCTGTCTCGACACGGAGGCAACACGTCAACAACAGCGCTGGTACTCACGCCCTCCCACGGGAGAGCAGCAGCCCCTCCCGTGCGCCCGGTGGGACCGTGCTCTACTCCTCTGGTCCTCCCTCAGCTCATGGCGGGGAGGAGGAATGCACCTCCAGCTCACTCCTCACGCTCAACCGTACCTGGCAAAGGCCCTGAGAGAGAGGGAGAGAGGAAAGCAGGGTAGGAGACTCCCGCACCTCAATCATGCATCTTGAAGAGCAGGGGGAAGCGACCTCTCTGTCTTCTCCACGCGAGGCCACGCGCTCTTCCCACCGGAGGGTGACGGATGCCATGCGGCCATCCTGCCACGGGCCACACCGTGCCATCCCTGTCACTGCCGCAGCCAGGGCCACATCTTCTGAGTAGGGGCAGCAGTGGTTGCTCAGCCCCTCGCTGAATCCCACCGGTGCTCGGTTCTGACATGGCAGAGCCTCCGGCCACGTCTCCGAGGTCTCTGTCCTGACCAGGGTCACTCCTGGTGCTGCTGCGTGTGCCAGGCCAAGGGTTGGGGGCAGAGTCACCCCCATCCATGGGGGAATGGTGAGGGGTCCCAGTGGGTCTGCAAAGGTCAACTCTTCCAGGAGCTCCCGAGCCAGTGTGTCGGAACATGGGCAGCGGAGGGTGCGCCAGGTAAGGCTGGGGGAGCTGAGACAAGGGCAGAGCCAACTCCACCAGCTCCAAAGCGATCTCAGAGTGGTTCCATCCAAGCACCAAGTAGGGAGCAAAAACAGAGTGTGATCCCCTTTGTAAGCTCTATCTCTCCAGATCTCCCACGGCTTCAGTCAGAGATGCTCAGGCATCAGAGGCTGGGCCTCAGAGAACCATGCAAAGGGTGATGGGGTCACCAGCACCACTGAGATCGCCCTGCCCTTGGTCACATCTACAGCCCGTGATGACCCTGCTGTGTGCTGTGTGACACCCTCTGAGGCGCTCCCGGCCATGGAGCCCCGTCAGGTTGATTTGCAGGATATGTTCCCAGCAGGCACAGGGACACCCTGCCCCTGCTTCGCCGGGGACAGGGCAAGAACATCAAAACGGGCCACACGAGGCGATGACAGGCCAGGCTGATGCTCCCAGTTAGGGGGAACTCATGAGGAATCCCAATAAACCCCACAGACGGGAGCCAAGCAGCTCCTTGAACCCATGAGCAGCTGAGGCTGGTGGCGGGGGGGACACAGCTGAGCATCCGCCCTGCAGAAGGACCAAGCACCAGGGAAGGGTTGAATGGAGACATAGGTGATGAGGATCTTGGACAAACCCCAGAGAGGTGTATGAGCCAAGTTTCTGGCTGACCAAGCCATCCCACACCCAGATGTGAGGCACAAGCTCCCTTTGCAGAGGGAAGACGGGACGCCAGGAAGGGGACGCTGCGTTCAAGGCACGGCCCACTCCAAAGAGCTGGAGAAGGGGGACCTCTGGACTTCCCAGAACATCCCAGTGCCAATGCTGCACAGCTCCATTCCATTGGGAGGATGGGGAAGAGGACCCTCAGCACCCTCACCCCATCACCAGGGGCTGCAGGAAGGGGTGACCGGGGATGGTGGGACAGGGACAGGGCAGGTTTGCCCATGCTGCAGCAGGAAAAGCCTCCAAGACATATCACAGGGGGCTGGGAATGCTTCACGGAGCAGTGGCCATGAGGGACAGCCCTCTCCAGGTGGACAATATGGTGTGCATATAGGATTATCCTGGTAGCAGTGGTCCACTCCTCAGTGGTCCTCCCAGTGGTCCAGGGGTTGTGCAAGGTTGTCTGGTGGGGTGGGCTCTTGGTCTGGGCTTCTTCATCTTCTGGCAGAAGATGGCTCAGCCTGGGGACAGTTAAGTCCCCTGGTGCTCAGGAGCATCTCTGGGATCACTGTGTGTGCAACCAGGGGGTGAAGTCCAATGTGACCAGAAGAATCCAGAACCCAAGGTCCCTTTGCGTAGGAGCAGGAGCTGGACGTCACTCAGGGTGGCCTGAGCAGGGACAGAGCTGTGGGATGGCACCCTAAACTGAAGGAAAAGGTCTCCTGAGACTGCCCAGGACAGGTGTTTGAGGTCTTCTTTGCCCAAGGCTAGAGTGGAAGTGCTGGCACATGGTCTCTGTCGGTAGGTCAGGAGAGGGGGAGAGCACAGAGCACAACCTTCCTCCATGGCACCAGGTCTTCAGGGAGCTAATCCACAGGGAGGGACAACCTGGTGGCAGAAACTGCCCCAGCCAGCAGCGACGGGCCTTGTGGTCAGGAGAAACCAGCACCTTCCCACCTTCTTCACCGGGCTTAGGGCTTGGAAAGGGCAACTTCCAGTCTTGGGTGGTGAGGACATAGCTACCCTTGCTGCTCATCCCACCAGGACTCACCTGGAGAAGGGCTTGTGGCCAACAGGGATCAGCTCACAGCTACCAGCTGGCCCCTCCCGAGGGCCAGCCGGGCTCCAAGAGCTCCTCTCTCCCTACTCATCTGCCCCCCTTTCCATGCAAACCTCTTCCTGCCAACCCAGTGGTGGGGTCTGGATCGTCTTCCTACCGCCAGTCGCGCTACTACCAAATAATCTGCCTCTAAAAGCTCCTCTGAGAACTAGGATGTTGTAGGACAGGAGTCCCATGGGATCAAGGGGTTGGGGATGATGAGCATGGGAAAAGGCAACTTTGGGTGAGCCACAAACACACCTGGGCAGGAACAAACCATGCAGGAAAACCATGCGGAGAATCAGCGATGAAATCAAGGAGGACAGCGACAAAAGAAACACGTGAAACTTTGGCAAGACAAATCCCCCTTTTTGTTCTTTCCCTTTTTTTTCTTTGAAAATAAAAATGTTAGAAAAAAGGTTAATTGCTAAAAAAGGCTTCCGACAGTTACAAAAGCCTGTCCTTCTCATGGCAGTGCTCCCACAGTGTCCCCTTTCCCCCTACAACAGCTCTAGCCCATATGGGATGCTCATCCCATATGATTATGATCTCATTGATGAGTAAAACCCGAGGGCAAAGACCACTGCACCGAGGATTCCCCTCTGGGATTTTAAGCCCAAACTTGCCATTTCTCCCTAAAGCCTCATCCCCAGCTGCTCTCATGAGGCTTTAGGAACTCATTCCTGGCCTTTTCCAATGTGCATCCCCCTCCTGCCGCATCAAGATCACCCTGGCCAGCAGGAATGGTTCAGGATTTGAGCTCTGCCAACATCCCCTGAAGACTGCACCCCAAGGAATCAGCACTGGCCGGCACTCCAGAGCCCCAAGTGCAGGGTGGACCCCAAGCTGGGACCTGCAGCACCCTACAGAAGGAAACAAAACCATTGGAAGTACTTACTTGGACTGGGTTTGCTTAGTAAGGTTCTTTATGGTCAAGCCCTCCTTTCCTATGATCGCACCAACAAACTGCGTGGGCACCAGCATCCGCAGTGGGAACTCGAGCTGTTTGGGCTGCGAGGAGCCCCCCGGGGAGGAGCCTCGCTCCCTGGAAGAGTGGGCCCCACGGCGGGATCGCTGGGGGGGCGGAGGGGAGCTCACCTCTTCATCCGGGATGTAGGAAATCTTGAAGGAATAGTTCTCAAACTGGTGGTCGCTCAGCTTCTCTATGGCTCTGCAAGGCAGAGAGACACAGAGGTCGGTGAGGAGCTCCCCGGGGAAGGGTCCCTCACCAGCACCCCTAGAGCCTTGTAGTCGATGGTCCCTCCCCAGTCTGCATCATCTGCCTCCCCAGTCTGGAGGTGGTGGCCACAGGAAGCCAGAGCCCCTCACTTTTACCATGAGGAACAAGTCTCACAGCATGGTGGGACATCATCCCCTCCCATGTGGGTGATGCTGGAGCTGGCACAGAGCTTGTCCTCCCAGCAGAGGTGGGATAGCAGCCTGGGGACCTGCCCCTTCACCTGGGAACCTACTCCTGGGCAAAGTACTTCCCAGAAATAGTCCCACAGGCTTTTTGGACATGGATAAGGTGATAGAGCAGCTCTGAGCAACCAGTGCAGCTCCAGGGAGAAGGGATGTAGCACACGGTGCCCCTTTTTTGGAAATCCCAACTCCCTTCTCGGCAGGACAAGGCTGGGGGGCAGCACCTGGACTCTCCATCCCTCAGCCCCTCCTCAGTGATGCTCAGCCATGCCCAGTGTCTGCCATGACCCCACAAAGTGGTGGTGGTTCCCTCCATACTCCTTCCCTCCTCCTATCACATCCCACTTTGATTATGTATGGACCATAACAAGCAGCTCCTTGCCAGGCCTGAAATCCACATCCACCGAGGACTTCTGCAGCTTCACCATCCAAAAAAAGCCTCTTATCCTGAAGTATCAAGCACTGTTGTCTTGGGGAAACTCTTCTGTCTTCCTTTCTTGCCACAGATCCCAAGACCATGGTGGGATTTTTGGGGCTGTCCAATGCGGGGCCAGGAGTTTGACTAGATGATCCTTGTGGGTCTCTCCCAACACAGGAGATTCTATGATTCTAAGACACTCATCTGTGGCCCATGGAACCTCCAGCTGAGGCTGGAGGCACAAGGAGGACTCTCTTCTGCCCTCCTGGACCAGAACTTCACTCTCCCCATCTCTGTCCTCACTTATCCAACACTGTGATGGGTCAGCACAGATGGGAAATTGATGGAATATCCATCAACAAATGGACTCACAAAGGCTCTTCATTGCCTGGGATCTGCCTAGCTCTTGGTCCTACCAAAAATACCCTGGCCACTAATTAAGGAATATTTCACTATTTACTCGTAGCTTACACAGAGTTGGTCTCTACAAGCCTGGACCAAAGCATTTTGCTTGAAATAGTCCTTCCACTTCAGAAATAACTGCTAATTTGTTGTTTTTTTCTCTCTGCTGGCCATGATAAACCTTTCATCATGTCTCCACATGGCCTCCTCGGGTCCTGCCAGCCTCCTGAAGCTGTTCCTGATGGGGGACATTTCTCTGCGACTGCTCGGCACAACAGGCAGTTGATTCACCCTCAGCTGCTCCCCTGCTCCTGCAGACACCAGCCATGGGCCTCCTGGCTCCCTCTCACCTCCTCCACCCACCCATCCACCCATCCATCCATCCATTCATCCATCCATCCATCCATCCATCCATCCATCCATCCATCCCTCTCTTGTCCACAGCAAAAGAACTTTTAGAAGCCAACCAGCTGATTCCTCTTGACAGCAGGTGACAGTCTCTGTGTATTTTGGCCTCCAACTTGGCTTTTCTCACTCTCCTATCACCACCACATTTCTTCACCATCTCTGCCATCTCCTTCACCATCTTCAGCAGCTCTAACTGGGTGGTCACACGGGTGATTAATCTGGTGCATTCCCAATTCTGGTCTGGATTTCCAACCTGGGAAGACGAACTGCTTATCTGACCTGACCCTCAGCTTTCCACTTTGCTGCCTGAAGACAAGGCCACTGAGACATGGTAGAGAACCCTGCAGGAAGGACAGTGTCCAAAGGGAACTGCACATCTAGGAGGCAAGGGGAGAAGGCCCCTTGAAGGGACAACCACAGGGCTGATGGCCACAGGAAATCCCATCTTCCATGACAGGGGAGAAGGCAGGAGACAGCCCAGCAGTGGGACAACTTAGAAGACAAGATACCTGGGATTCCTCAGGAAAAGCCTGGGTGGTGTGAAATTATGGACAAAGCCAAACAAAGCCCACTCACACTTTTGCCTCTTCCTTCGTTGCGTAGGTCACGTTGACAACAGCTGTTTCTGTGTCTGTGTTCACTGGGAGAGCAAGAGAAGGACAGTTAGAGCATGGGGGGAAAAGGGGTCACCGTTGCTCCCAGCCCCCCAGCACACTCCAGAGGGGGGATGCAGCTGGGGACAGTGGGCTGCAGATGCTGTATCTCCCCCCAGCACAAGGACTGGGCTGGAACAAGACCAGAAGGTGCCAAAGATGGATCCAAGCAGGACACCTGGCTGGACATCTCTAGTTCATCAGTGGACCCCAAATGACACTCAGCTCATTTTTACAGGCCAGGGACCAGGAGAATCCCTGGGGATGGAGGATGGGTGGTCTATCGGGATGGGCTGCCCCACCTCTGCCAGCAGGCCTTGTGTCCAAAGGGAGAACCAGTTCAGGTCAGTACTACTGGGATAATTAGGTTTCACCCCAGTGGGTTTCCTTTTCCTATGGTGTGGGCAGAGCCAGGGAGCAGTGCTAAGAATTTTGCAGAGGTGAGGACCATGCTGGACCGTCTTACCTTGCTCTACATTCTCCACCGTCCCACACTGAGCTAACAGGCCATCCAGCACCTGGGGAGAGCAGCAAACTGGGCAGGTCAGGTCCCAGATAGGCAGGGAAGAGCCCACTCCCCCCACAAACACCCTCCAACATCACCCAACTGCTTAAATGCATTCATCCACCTGCATACCACCATTCCAAAGATGCCTCGCCACTCCAAGCTGCCCCACAACTCCGTGACCCACAAGCAGGCAGGAGCTGGGGCCCAGTTTATGCCCCCTCCTGGGATTACTGGGAAGGTAAAGGGTGGGCCATGTGCAGACCATGTGCTCCAATGGCACAGCTCATGCTGATGGAGGGGGAGATGAACGGGATGTTTTTAGGATCAGCCACTTCTTACCTCCCACTGTAGGTGGGGGGGGATATTTCGGATCTGGATCTTCCTGCTCCTGCAAAGACAAAGCCCTGGGTTAGGGTCTGCAGGTGCCCCACAGCAGAGGGAAAAGCCTCTCTGGAAATCACATGGCAGCTGGGCAGAGCTTTCCAAACTATCCCGCTTCCCCAGGGAGGCTCATCCACAGGGAAGGAGCTTCTCCTAGCTTTGCCCCAGTCACCCCGCCAGGGCTGGAGCTGTCTCCAGAACGCTCCCTCCTCATGATGGCTGTCAGGTTTCCAAGGAAACCTCCTGAAAAGAGCCTCTGCAGAGTCATGGCCACACAGGGAGGCTGGGATGCATGGACACCCCTGACCACACTGCCCTGGGCTGGAGGCTGGGTGGGGACAGGACCCCCAGCTCCACTACGGCCAACCCCGCTATCCCTTGAGGGGGTTCTCCAAAGGTGCATCCTGCTGATGTCTACCACTTCCCAGCAACGTGGGGCTGTTTCCTTGGGGAAACCTAAATAAATATCCTTGGAGATGGCCAACACATCCAATCTTCCAACCTGAGACATGATTGTGCTCCCAACCTGGCTGTGGCTGCATTCCCAATCTGGCTGTGGTTGCACTCCAAACCTGGCTTTGATTGCATTCCCAGCCTCGTAATTGTGCTCCCAACCTGGCCATGGTTACACTCCCAAGCTTGCCACAGAGCAGGCTTGGGGAAGGGATGCACAGGAAACACTGCCAAGGCTTTCCATGGGATAACAGCCACCAAACACCTCCCCAGCTTGGCTATGCTTGGGCAGTGGGGAGTTTTGAGACAGTCCAATCCATGGAAGATCCAGCCAAGCCTTGAGCTCATCCATGGGCCACCCAGATCAGCATTCCCAATCCTGCTTGTAGTCAGTCAGCTCTGACCAAAGCACTGTCCTATGTTCTCAGCTTTCCCAGTACCCGGGATGAGCTTCCTGACCCAGCCACACACAAACAGCCAGGTTTTGGGATCTGATCAGCAGCTGGAAGCCGATTTTATGAAGTCTTCCCCTTCCCTTGGGATGAGCTCAAGGAAGATGCTTGAAAGAGCAGGCACCACCAGCTTCAACAGGAAAGCAGCTCCAGCTGATGGCCACGAACACCTAGGGGCTTTGGGCCGAATCCTGCAGGACCAGGAGGCAGGAGGAGATGGAAGAAGACATCAACACCCTGATTCCACTAGCAATCTTCAATATCTGGAAAGTGAGGCCTTCCAGCTGTGGTCCCTGCTCTCACAGCTCACAGCACAGGCACATCTCGAGCCCCTGCAAACCATTCTGCTTTTTTGGATAGTTTAGGGCCAGATTCAGTGAGGGAAAGTCAGAAAAAGAAGTTTTCTTGAGATGTGGGCTGTGAGGGCAGGATAAAACCCACAGCTGGTCCCACAAGGACCAGGGCCAAGCAAAGAGGGAGGAGGAGGCTCGTATCTCCTGGGGCGGCTCCAACAGCAGGACAGCAAAGCCTACACTGGCAGCCAGCCAAGGAGGTGTGCTCAGGAAAAGGGGTTTGACAGACTCCTGTCCCCAGCTGCCACCAGGGATTTCACAGCTGGGAATGCAGATGTAAGATCCCTGAGAGGGAAGGAGCAGGATTCATCTCATCCCATGCCAGCCATCTCCACCCCACACTAGGAAGGAGGAGGAAGGAGGGTCCCAGGAAGGGAGACCATGGCAATGATGGGTTCACCAAGAGCCTGAACCCTTCTTCCTGTCCTTGTCACCTGCCCACGGCTGACACTGCTCCTAAACACTACAAACACTATGGGGACCATTCCAGAAAACTGAACAGGTTTCCTTTTTAAACCCCACCAGCATTTCCCAGAGGGACTATTTTAAGATGCCCAGGTCCAGGCCAGATGTTCAGCTCCAGGAGGACCGCTCCTGCCTGCTCCAAAGGATGCATCCCACTCCCAAAATGCCTGGTGACATCCTGTGAAGCCGCTGTGCCTGAGCAAAGCCCAGTGAGCCTCAAATCACTGGAGAGAGCTGGACACACCGTCCAGTTACTCCCACCACCTTCCAGGTGCCAAACAACAGGTGGCACCTTCACTGGCTTTATCCCAAGGTGCCACACTCAGCTGCAAGCCAAAGCATCACCACAGCCAGTCCCCTCCTACCGATGGGAACCATGAGGATGCCACAGGCTGGACCAGGGAAGAGTCTCTCTCTCTTTGGGGTTCATCTGGCTCAGCTCACCGATCACCAGAGCCCAGTAGCCAAGGGGACATGGGGCATTTTGAGGGACCTCATCCAAGAGAAACCAGCACAGCATCTGGACATGGTCCCCTTGCCACTCCTGGAAAGCCTCTGCCTTGAACTGAATTGCTTCAAGGCTGTAATTTCCCTCCACGTCTCCTGAGGGAGATGCCAGAGCAGCCCTGGCCACCCAAGGTGCTGCTCACCCCTCTGTGCCTGTCACCCACCTACCAAAACACCCAAACAGAAGGATCACAGGCCGTGCCACGTAACTCCACTTCCCAAAAGGTCACTACAACCTATTCCCACTTCCAGTGTCCATCCAAGCTCGTGCAGAGCACCTGAAGACAACCAAACGGTGTTTCAAGGCTTCCCCCCAATCCCAGGCAGGACTCCCAGCAGCTCATCATCACCACTGACCATTTAAAATAAGGTTATTATTCCCACAGGGTGTATTTTTTATGGTTCTTGTAATTCCCCACCTGGTTGGAGCAGTGCTGGATCACACAGAGTCATCACTGATGGAGAGATGGATGTGTCCCCAAGGGCTGGGGCATAGACCACCCTCCTCCAACACCACTCCCAGGAGGACTTTTGAGGCAGAACTCCCCTTTATTTTCATTTTAGTTTCATTTTCCTCGCTCTTCTCGAAACCTGGGGACTGATTTCCAGGGACAGTACCCCAGCACAGGAGCTCATGATGGAGGCAGCAGCCACATTTCCCCCAGCCAGTTTTGCAGCAGGCTGGTGGGGATTTAAAAAACATAATAAATGTAAGAACCACTTCGGGGAAAAATACTCAAATGTGTGATGCAACTGCCACAGCAAGCTGTCCTTGGATAACCTGGAGAGCTGCATCCTTCTGTATCACCCTTTGGCTCCACTCTACATGCACACCCACCTTGGTGCCCAGACCAGGACAAAATGCCCTGTGGGAACAGAGCACCAGCTTCAAGAGATAAAGAAACCACGTTCACCTGCTTTTTTCCCCTCTAAATTCAACCCAAACAGGTCCTGCTTGGCGGCAGCTCCAGAAGGGAGCATCTCCTCCATTCCAGAGCCGGGTTTTGGGCACTGGTGGCACATGTGGGATCAAGGAGGGAGCGAGGCTGTAGGGTGGGTTCGGGAATTAATCCAGCTGTGTGTCATTTCACGCATCCATCAGAGCAAAATCATGGGGCTGACATCACAATCCTGAAGGGAAAGGGGATGGGAAACCCAGGAAAACCTGCCAGCATCACCCCATGCCATGTGCCTGGGGTCTGCACTTGCTGAAATCAAGCAATAAATCAGAAAATGCCTTAAAACGTATGGTTTGTTCCCCAGAATCAGGTGGACTGAGGGTTTTTTGGCACATCTCCCTCTTCTCCAGCATGGTTTCCTGCCCTCCCATAGCAATCAGGGAAACAGGGGGTAACAAACCCCTCCAAAATCCAGGCACACAGAAGGAGAATGATAAAGATGAGATGAAGGTGTGACATGAAAACAAGCTACCAGCTCCCTGTCCAACTTCCACAGGCCCTCCATGGATCCTCCCATGGATCACTCATCCATCCCCTCATCTCCTGCTGCAGAGGGTCTTCACATCCCAAAGTATTTGGGAATCAGAAACTCAATTTCACTGAGTTGGCTTAAATATAAACCCTGTAATAATACAACAATAATACTACTATAGTAACATAACAACATGAATATACAAGATTATGACAAATCATATATGAAGACATATAATTAATATTATGGAACATAATATTCACCACTCTCTGCCCTAAAGAAATGGAGATTTTTTTCCACTCAAGCTTTAGTATCTTAACTGTATTAAAGCCACAAAGGGACTTTATCACCTTCCACCTCATATCGGTACTGGGGGCAGACAAAACAACGGTCTGGCACCTCCTGCTTTCCTGAAAAATCAGTTTTCAAAAGAACCGAGGGGAAAAAACAGAGGGAAAACATGCTGGAAATCAAACAGGTGCCCTGCCTGCTTTATGAAATATTTGTCCCAGGGAAGAAAACATCTACAAAAAAGATTCCCATCATTAGGCAGCAACCAAACTCCATCCCAACTGAATTTTCCAGACCCAGCCACAATGACTGAGGAGGAAAGGAAGTGGCTGTTAGGTTTGTGTCTGTTCATGCTATATATATATAATTTTTGGGCCTAACAGGGTCATCCTGGACAAGTTTTGCTGTCTCCCAACCCCATCCAGCAGTGGATCTTCCCGAGTTGCTCCATCAGTGCCAGGTTGGATGAGCATTAAAGGGCTGCCCCAGTTTCAACCAGTTGCCAAGAGCATCGAGGCTGCTCCAGTTCCCTCCCAGCCCAGGCTTTGCCCTGACGCTCTTAAGGAATTAAAATCCATTGTTGTTAAAGCCCAGCAACCTGCCGAGGGCCGGGAGCACGGGATGGATCCAGTCCTGGAAGCCGGGATGTATCAACAATAGGGGGAATAACGGCCCATCTGTCACAGCCCGGCCACATTAAGGGGGTTAGAAAACAAAAGAGGGAGGGGGAAGAGGAGGGAGGGAAATAAGAAGGTAAAGAAAAAGCAAGGGAGGAAAAAAGTAGGGGAAACCAGAAAAAAGGAGGGGAAACTGAAAGAAGGGGGAAAGAGAGAAAGGGGGAAAAGAAGGAAGAGGGAGAAGAGAAACAAGGGAGAAATGAAAGATGGGGGGAAAGAAGGTGGGGGAA